AATTACAAAAGTCATTTGGATAAGGGGCTGACAAATCCTAGCAGACAGTGAGAATTATGGGAATTTGCAAGGTTGGGCTGTTGCTAGAACATGTAAGCATTGCGTGTCAGCTACAATCAGTAAACAGTTCAGAAGAAACTGAACTACTACTTACTTAAATTATCTATTGACAAGCAAGGTTAGACACTGAATCTGATCCTTTACCCAGTTAACATACTGTAGTATCACATTTGATTTCAGAGCAGTGGACTGGAAATATTTTGCTAGTCCTCTTTACCCAGTATGTTTATTACACTGTCATCCTTGGAAATGGGTGTACAGTATATCTAGTAAATCTGTTATCTTTTTCAAGGAAATCACCTGGAGATGTTTTCTCTTAGTGAAAACTTCAGGACAGATCCCTATTTATTACTTCAGCTCAACCAGTGGTAAAATCCTTTCTTGTGTTACAAACTGCTATCAAATTGAAAATGACTCTGGTAAGCCAGTTGGCTCGTTCTACACCTGAGCTAGTGTACTGACTTAGTATGAATTTAAACTTGGACCAGCGTGTTGACATACAGAGATACCCACTATGTCATCCAAATTTACTCTGACTTGATACTACGGCCTCAGTTAGAGCAGAAAGCACCCAAACAGGTACTCACACAGAGATAAACACATAGAGCTCTTAAAAATTCTGATGTATTTAACCCCCATTATATAGTAAGACCTAACACTCTACATTTGCTTGAATCTGCAACAGAAATGTAGTGAATGGCAAATCCAAAAGCAGTGCTCTTCATCCTGTTGAAGGACAAGGAGGATCCGCTCTGGATAGGTGGTGGTGCTGGTCAGGCGTGGCATCCTTAACCCGGGAGATAGAGCTGGAACTTGTCTTCTCTGTCTGGTCTTCCCCTGTAGAAGAGAAGTTCCAAGTTCCTCCTCTTGTAGGATCTGTGCTCTCAGGTTCCCCACTACACCTCTGTGGCAGGGGTTTCCTTGCAAGTACTTTTCCTGGTCCATTTTTGGTTTATAAGTGTAATTCAGTCACAGATTTTAAAAACAAAAATTCCTTTCCCTTGGGATCTAACTTTTCTAGACTAGTCAACTGCCAAACTGTCGAGCTCTGCATAGGCAACCAGCCCTGTAACTGGAGACTGTCAGTGGCCTCTGTGACTGAGGACCCCAGAAACCAAATCTGAACAAGGATGCCTGACCTCAACTGATATTTTGCCCCCTGTGACATACATGTGAATTTTCTCATATTGACTTAGTGTGCCGTTCAGTTACAGGTACCTTTTTTTTTTTTTTTTGTGACGTATTCTTTATTTCTTGCTGTTCTTCATTTTATAACAGTAATTTGGCACTATTGCCAATTCAATCATATTTTTGTCAACCAATTAGAGATCATTTGTGTGGGTACTGTTGCATTAGCTAACTGTAATTCTATTCTGTGGTCAAACATTTCAGTGGTTTTTCTTGATAGGTCTTTGAATGAACTGTTAATAAATGAAATAACATGAAAATGTGGTAGCTTTACTCTTTTTTATAGGAAACAATTGCCTTTTGATTCCTTTTTTGTTTCTCCTCCCAGTTGTAGCTGTTTCTTGCTTCAAGAACAGGTATGTATCTGGTAAGTAACATGAGGCCATGAGGTGCTTTTTACACAGTTAAGCCATACCTTCACTGTGGTTTGTGTTCTGTCTGCTGGTTTGTTGGCTGTTGAGGTTCTTGGGTCTTCTGCTCCTCAGCACGTCCTCTGACCATGACTTTGGCTTAGTATATCTCTCAGTTGCATTGGCTTCTGACCTTGGATTGTCCTTGCTCTACCTCCAAATTCATTAAGACTGATTTGTAAACCCATGACCTTGTAGATTCAGGGTTTAACAGACTTTCCTTTTTGGGCCTCTGCAGTCAGAATTTACTCATCCTGTCCGGTAAATTCTGTGAAAGTTCAGTGATTTTTTCCCAAGCCTTCTCAGGACCATGGCCTGGCTTAATTATTTTCCTGTTAGATTTTTTTTTTTCAAAATGGATTTTGGATTTTCCTTTGCAGTAATCTGTTTGCATTAGGCTGCTACTGCGAAGTGTCTTTTACAAAGCATGGCTGGGAGATGTGATTTGTAAATTTAGGTAATCTAAAGATAAATTTAGGTAAATTTAGTATCCTAAAGTATTTCTCTGTCTCTCTTCAAGTTGAGGGAATTTTTATCTGTTGATTCTAAATAGCAGCACTTTGCAGGTTGAATACAGAAGCATGGCCATCTTTCCCTATGCTTTTTTTTTTTTTTTTTTTCCCTCTGGAATAATAAATTTTTCCTTGGGTTATCTTCTCTTTCTCACTTAACTGCTTCAAGTATTTCTATGGCTCTAATTCATCTTCTTTAGTTGTAAAAAGGAACAACTGTTTCCTCTGGCCTCAGAGGTTCTGTTAGATTTTCGTATGCAAGGTATATAATGTATAATCTACCCTTTAAAAAAATATTCTTATTGTGATGTCTGTGAAATAATTTTATTTATAATAACTCTGTGTATATTTTCATGGCAATTTTCATGGTATACATACTGTTCTGTAACATTTATTAAAAATGACAAAAGTTTTGCACTCATCATTTAAGATTACTCATTCTTGGTTTGAGAATTTTAAAGAAAATCACAAAACACAAACTTTTGCTTAATTTTATGTTTGAGTCTTCCAAACAGAAATATTATATTTGTCCCAAATTATATTATTCATAAGACAGCGGTGACAAATGTATTTTTATGCTTGGAAAAATTAGTATGTTTTACACTCGCCCTGCAACAGCTGGTTTAGTCTGGCATTACTTTTTTTTTTTTTTTTTTTTTTTTTTTTTTTTTTTTTTTTTCAGAGCTGTTGAGGGATTTGTTTAGCCCAATAGGATTTGTATTGATTTCTGTTTCACTTTTTTTGGTGAGCTTTATTCTTGCTTTGTTGTTATATTGATTCTGAGAGCTTTAGCCATTTGAGTTATTACAAATTTTGCTATATTTATGCTGTAATTCTACTACAATAATCAAGACCTTAGACATTCACAGCTACTAAAAACAATACACTCCCCAACAAACAAACAACTCCCCCCAGAAAACTGAAGCTGCAACTGGTTTCCTGGAATCTGAAGTATCTTTGAAAAGGGCTTACCATATTTCTTTTCCCCAGATGTTTATTCAGGTGACTTAGGACATTTTATTATTAATTGATAGTTATTGGATATTATTACTCATTCCACTTACATGAAATGAGTATGTGGAATGCTGTTATAAATCAGTGAGTTCTGTTTCATGTCATATCCGAGTATTTAATCTATATGGACCAAACAACTATATAAATATGAGACATTGCAAAAGAGATGCAAGGATTCTTGCAAATAAAAGCAAGTATAAGTGGATAAACATGAATTTAAATTTTTTTTTTTTTCCAGTTGATTAGCCAATACGCTTAACTCCCTTAAAGCAAACTCCCATGAATGAATAAAATGGTCAGGATAAACTCAGCCATCCTAGCGTATCCAAAATTTATATCTGTTTCCAGCAATTAAACACAGAAATGGCACTGTTTTAGCTGTCTGTAGACACTCTGATATGCGACTGTATCATTTTGCAATATGCCCTGTATTTTATCGAAACCCACAAGCAGTAGTTGCTGAACTTTAAAAGAGTCAGATGGTCCAACAGAAGTCAGAGGGACAAAATTGTTTAAAATTAAGCACACCCTAAGAGAATCTCTGTTAGGGAAGAAACAAAAAAAACACTTATAACAACGTCAGCTCCAAGAGCACTGGTTATTAAGAATGATAATTCCAATCCCTTGGAATTATCCTAGTTAACCCAGTGGATCAGAATGCTCTTTGATACTGGTGCTGCAGATCAAACATAGCCAGACTTCAAACTGCAGCTGTGTCCCAAGAGAAAAAAACCTTCTCCATAGTAGGCAGAATTTGGTCGGCTTCCAAAAGTGATTTATTCCTCCCTTCTTAATAAAACATATTTTGCAGTTTTATGTGTAACAGACACCCCTGCACAGCTTGGAGAGCTCTGGGTGTAAAAAACTAGTGAAGAGGAATTATCCACCCCACCCCCAAGGTGGGAAGTGGATTGAAAATTATTTGCACACACAGCTGGATGCGATGAGACGGTGATCACAGAGTGAACAGAGGCTGAGCACAGAATGTTTTTAGTGAATCCTATTGTAAGCACCTGAATCATAAAATCAGTTTCTACTGTGGGGTTGGGAACTGCTGTAGCAGTTACACATCCCACATGCTTGAATGAATAGGGTTCCTCATTCAGTGGCAATTCTTCACTAGTTTTCTAGAAATGCAGACTTTTAATTTAGAATATGGTTTTATCTTTGCTGTCAAGTGCTGAAGCGAGCACTCAGTATTTTATGGGTTGTGGGAGAGGAAGGAAAGACCTCATGCAGTCAAGACAAGCGCTAAGTAACGGACTGGCTTACCATCAATGAAGGCATCTACTGCTCAGTAGATTTGGAAACTATTCTGGATGATCATGCAGAATTGCTGGCGTAGAGCTGTTTCGGAGAGCTTGTTACAGAACTGCATTGCCAAGGTGTAAACTAAATAGCCGCAGCTCCTGTTAAGTATTTCTTGATGGTAATAGTAGTCTTCCTCTCAAATAAGACCACATTTCTACCTTAAAAATAGGAGAGCATTCATTCTAAAAAATAGTACATAGAGAATAGAGCTAGTAATACAGGAACTCAGCTGTATGTGTAGTGGACTATGTGCTGTCCATTCATGGGCCACAAAGAGGAAACTAAAGATGGATAGCTGTTGAACTTGAGGATGAAACACACACACACACACACACACCACTTTTAAATTAATAAAAAATTATTTTAATGAAAAGTAAAGGCAGATAGAAACTGTGGTTTAATTAAACAAAAAAAGTAGAAGCAAAACTGAGAGAACTTGAGTAAAATGGTGTTGAAATGCTCAAAGACTAGCTTCTATGACACTCCATATCATATGCCACATTATTCACTTGTCTGAAGACTTTTTTTGTGATAGATTCTGGAAAAGAGAAATAATTGAATTATAGAAAATGAAATTTAGTGAGTTCAGTGTGTTCTTTACAGAGAAGTTTTTAAAAATTGAACTTTTTTTGGTTGTTTCTGAAGTCTGACAAGCATGATAAAATTAACAGATAAAGTACAAGTAAGTTATATTTCTCCGACAGAAACTTGAAACTGATCATAAAAGTGAGTAATACAAGTTTCCCATGACTGATATTCTGCTCTTGATGCTAGTGGCAGCTGCATCTTCATTCAACTCAATCAGGGGCTCTGAAATAAACTTTTAAAATCCTTTTATTTCCAAAAATGGGTCTTCAAAATAATTTTTCTCTTTGTATTCTTACATAGACTGACTAGGGAGAAATTTGAAGTTAGGATTGACATTTAGAGACAAACCACACTTTACTAAGTTTTTGTAAGGAATTTGTGAATGTACAAAATAAAACATTAAATAAAAGGATGCTATTATCATCCTATTTCTCCGTACTCCCATCTTCTATTTAACTGACAGCTGGATAAAGATTAATTTAGCTACTAAATGCATAATGATTTCCGGATTTCAAGACACTAATAATTAGTCCTAGTCCCCCAAATAGGTCTTTCTTGTGCTACAAATGTATCTTAACATTTTTTTCTGTGCTTCCTTTTTTTTTGTGAGAAATTATATTCCCGGACATTTGGAAATAAAATGCTAAAACAAATGAGTATTGCAGTGAACCTGCAATGCAGGGATGTTTGGCTGTGTATATAGTATAAAAAACTGCTTATCTAAAACCACTGCTAATCATCTTAAATTACACATTTAAAACTAAAATTATCAAACAGTTAAAATACATAATGAAAATAGAATACCATTTGCAGAATTTCAATTTCTGTTCGAAGAGTCTCACAGATACTTTCCCAGTCATCATCTTTGCAGTTTTCCAGTTCTTTCTTGAGCCTGCGTCCAAAACGAAACGAATTTTCAGATCAGAGAACTGTTGCTTGGGTAACTATTTTTTTCATCTTTTCTCCCAATTGTCAGTTTGACTTATGTGAGAAAACCCTCATCGATCTATTCGCATGATCAGGATTTGTTTGCTAATTCTGTAATTGGCAGTTTTATATGCTGCTCTCTGCAATACTGATGGATTTCATTCAGCACTGGCAGTTGTGATAGCAATGTGAGGAACTTCAGAAAATGACATTTTGGGTTTTTATAAAGTATATCTTGACTAAGTACTTTGTTAGACAAATTTCTGAACCATGCTGTTTTCATAAACCGTGAAAGATTTATGGCCTCGTTAGTCATCATTTTCCTTATTTAAACATGTGAATTTGAATGTTGATACTTAGGAAGTACCATATGTTACTGTTCTTACTTTCCCTGGATATCTACTTGCAGCTACTGGTGGAGACAGAATACTGGGTTGGATGGGTCCTCTGCCTGAGCCTGTGCAGTCATTGCTCCATGCCGCTCCACAGACTCCTTTGCTTTTGCTGCTGTTCTCTCCCTGATGCTCCTATTATTCTTCAGTGTTTACTGACTGTTTCCCAACAGTCTCAGCCAGGAATCCTTCAACTTTTCTACAATAAGGACCAATTTTAATACAGCGATTTTTGCATTCAAAAGGTTATTTAGTCCTGCTAAAAGGAGACACCTAAATTTTTGCACATCAGTGACTGTAATGGTTTAAGTCAATACTCAGTAGAGCAAGAGAAATCTATGCCAGAGCTTTTAGTAGTCTGATGAGTACAGAGTGATGAGATTATACTGAGTTTTTCCATGGCTGTCATAAGAAAAGCATAATGAGAAAGCTGAAGTTGCTTACCCTTAATACAGTTTCAATGAATACACTTTCATGTTAATACAGTTTCAGTTAATATAGTTTCAAGTGAATATTCTGGGAGATATAAAGAGACTTAAAAAAAAAAGGAAGAAAAGTATATATTCTGCTTATTAAATATCTAAACTACTGCATCAAAGCAGGACCTTGTTTCTTCTGAAGTTGAAAGAGGGAAGTAGCAACCATTTTTTCTTTTATGTACTGTAATGGGGAATAAATTATTTAACCCTGTTATATCGATGATGCATATCTTTAGCTGTCCTATGGCAGAGAGAGTTTGTTTTCTGCACAAGACAATGGCCTTATTAAAAGGTATAGCTTCATATGAGAGGAATATAGCTTAGTCACTATGTGGCATTAGAATAGTAGCATAAGACTGTACTGTAAGTTATTTTTCCTGTTCCTATGGAAAATGTAAATATCTCACCATCAATATGGAAACTTATCATCTCTGTGTGTTTGTAGTACAAAGGAGCAAATGTCTCCTCCAGGAATATTTCTCCTGCATTCCTAATACATACAAGTGCTCAAAAAAATTTTGAACTACACTTTAAGAAATTAAATATACATTGTACTGTACTACATTTTCATTGAGAGAAGTTCATTTCTAGGTCTAAGATCAGTTTCTGATCTTGATTAAATCAGCTTAACTTCATTGCATTGACTCATTTTTTTTCCTTATGTTCTCTGTTAGTGTGATGTAAGAACCCTATTTTAAGACAAACAAAAACCCTACTTTGCCTAATTTACTTTAGGAAAAGACAGAGTCTGTTAATGTCAGAAAAAATGCTCTCTCATTGTCTTCCACATTGTAAAATTGATGCATAGTCTGTTTGCTAGTTGTCAGCTAAGAGCGATACCATTCCATGTTAGGTGTACACTAAGGATAGAACAACCAGATGATAAGCAGTAAGAGTTGCTTATCTGTGTCTTGGGATTGTGAATTAATTCCTGTTGATGATGTGCTTTCCAATTGTAATATTTTGCATGTGGATTTTAAAATTTTATTTAAAATATTTTATAAAACTTTTAAATGTGGTGAGAGCACAACTCCTTACATAGAATGGGGTAGTGGTGATAAAAGACAATAGTTCAAATATGGTGTTTTATTTTTACGTTAATCAATTGATTCTGCTTTCAGGTCTTCCTTTTTTCTTATTTAGAAGCTAGATAATTACAGTATATGCTAGGAATATTATACTCACAAAACAAGGGCTGTCTGTTGGGTTATAGTCTACACAATTAATGCATTGGGGACGCCTGAGTTATTGAATAAATGATGAAGTTTTACCAGAAGGAATGTGAGGCAATAGAACTATTCAAAAAAATGCTTAACCTGGAAGCAGATTTAGTTTTTTCATTTTACATTTAAGATAAGCAGGATATTCATATTCATCTTTCCACTATCAGATTGAATGTGCAAACCAATTATTCATGAAGCTACACCATCTAGATGGAGGGCAGGTTTTCTGCACCTTTGGAAATTGAAAGAGATGTACCTTTTGCCAGAACAAGAATTAATACGACAATTATATTCTCGTTATGACTATGATAAAAAGCAAATCTCCTAAAAAAAAAAAAAATAAATTCTGACAAATCACATTAATATTTGGCCCTCCATGTCCTTTGTTTTATTTTTAGCATTTTGGTCTCTTTGATGACAATAAAAATTTTTTTTTTTTTTTTTTTAAAAGATCATTGCACTGGACTAACAGTGTATTGGCAAATTACAGCATCACAGGTAATGGGCTCTAATGAACAGCTGGAGTTGAAGTGCCGTATTTGTGAAAGAAGGTTTGACTATTCCTTTGAAAAACATTCAAGATAAATAGCAATAGCAAAGCCTAGCCTTAAATCAAGTAGGTGGGACAACAGCATCAGCATTTTTTGGATGCTAGCTTGCCCTACACTGAGCTTTGCTATCAGTGGTCCATTTTCCATTACTCTCGAATGCCAGAAGTGACAAAGAGATGAAGAAGGAGGAGATCACTGAAGATGATCGATTTTGCAGCTTTGAAATGAGCAGAGCTATTAAATGTCATTGGCATTTGTGGTTGATACACACTATTCTTGAGTTTCAGCTGTATATGCAGAAGGCAAATAGGAAAAATAATTGTGAAATCAATACACACTGATATTATGAATTGAACTATGATGAAAATAATGTTATTGTCAAACAGGTTTCTCTGAAAATCATCCACAGATTCAAAGTACTGGATCAAGACTTCAGTAGCCAGAACTTGTATTCCAAGAATAATTTTATGTAAAGAGGTCTCAAAGAAGAAATAGTTTGTGTAGAAGGCAGGGGGAATATGTGGTTTTAGACCCTTTTTTTCTAAGTGAGGATGAAAGAACCTACCTGGTTATTGTTGGAGTTGCAGAAGGAACAGGCTGTCCCTTAGTTATGGTTTGCTGAGACAAGTAAAACATTTTTTTCTTATTTTCCTTCTTGTCTTTGCCTTGATTATGACCACTATTTTGTTTTTCAACCATAAATACAAGGGAAAACATTAGAGTCTATCATAAAATGGAATTGCTTGACACTGCTATATGAGGCATAGAATTTATGGTACAAAATGAAGTTCCCTAAGAAGTTACATATAAACTTGAGAGTATGTATGTTGATTTTCCTGAATTTTATCATAAAGGTCAGGAGAAACATTTATCAAGTTTTAAGACTTTATTGAGACTGAAGAAAGTATAGAGGACTTTGGTTTATTGTCTCAAGCCAAAGGAGAGCTAACGCATTGAGGTCATTCAGTCTCAGCTCAGTACTGGGACTAAATTAATGTGTATATTTCTACAGTGAGAGCAAGATTTTGCTGAGTATTTACAATTTGCTGACACTACTAAACAGAAAATGCTATTGATACAGCTGAAGAAGTCAATAAATTTCAGACTATTATCAATTGATTGAGGAAGGGAGAAAATGAGTCCTAAATGGAATTCAGTATCTCAAAACATAAATTCAGGCACTTGAGTTGAACAAATAAATTACAAAAGTATGTGCTTGATGGAGCAGAAATAGAATAAAAATTAAGAAGGTGATGTAGTAGTAATAATAAAGGCTCACAATAAGATGAAACATGAAAGTGAACAGGGTACTGTGCTACATAACAGTGGGAATTAAATGTATATTAAAATAAATAGAAATACCTTAGGTATAATAAGAAAATTTCAGCTTTTACTGTTCTGGATCAAATGCTGATTGTAAAATACATAATTATAATTGATTAAAGCTTGTATTTTGTGCATGCTATCAGGCAACTATTTATAAAAGTTGTTATAGGTCTTGAAAAGTGTGGTTTGTTTTTCTGTTTTTTAAAATTTATATTCCCCAAATACATGAAACATCTCAAGCAGTCTTGAAGGAATATCTTATTATAGATGAATAAATGTAGAAATTTAAGGCACACTAAATTAAAGTGCACACTTAGGATGAGATTTGCTTTTGTGCAGACAGCAAACCAAAGTTATATGGATTACTTTCCATAGGAACTGTAAGAACAAGTTACACAGGAAAGGAAAAATGTACAAACATCAAAGATGTCGGTGAAATGTGTTTCTAGGGGTCAATAAGATTTCTATTGAAAGGGAGGGAAAATGAATATGGGTCAATGACCTTTCTAGTTCAAATATCTTGATTTTTCTATTATACAGGGAAAATTATATCTCAATATGGACATATTAATACAGCTACCCTGTTGCTGAAATTAGTATCTCTATAATTCACTGCTTTGCTTCATGTGAACTATATAATTTTCTCAGAGCTAGAAAGGATTTAGAGTTATCCTTATTTCCTTCTGCATTATGGGCTGCTCTTCATTCTCTCTTCATCTTTTAGGTTGAATGCATCTTTCTTGAAAAGGAGGTGAGAGATTTGTACACAGTGTTTTCTGTTGGAAATATTTCTTGCTTTTACCTTTTCCACAGCTATATTGACTTTTGATGTTTATAGTTGCTTTTTAATTACGTAGTCTGCTCAGGCCTTTCTTCTCCTTTACTTCCAGGTACCTGTTATTGAAGTCCTTAGTTGTGTATAAGTACATAAACTTGCACTGTATATGATTATATTCCTCCTCTTTTTTAGCAACTCCAGACTAAAAGATCTAGA